CACCATGAGAAATCGGCCCAAAAGGCATTCGCCGTTCTACGGATGATCCGACGCACCTTCTTCCGTATTACTTGCATGGACTTCCAAATACGCTATGGGGCCTACGTCAGAACGCTCCTGGAGTACGCCAACCAAGTTGTCTACTCAGGACGCACGAAAGACGTCACCCTCACTGAGCATGTCCTGCGGGACGCTACGAGAATGGTTACCGGCCTGGAATCCGTGGACTACGAAACGCGTCTCGCGATGCTTGATCTCTTTCCCCTGGAGTACCGTCGCCTCTGAGGGGACCTAATTCTTACTTACGCCCTGTTTGAACAAAGCTTGGCAAACAGGCTTTTACCGTTGACCCAGCAAACACTTGGCGGGGACATAGTAAGAAAATTTTCAAGCTCTGGGCACACATTCATTAGACAGAATTTTTTTCATTTCGGGTAGTGGGTGCGTGGAATGACCTTCCTCCGACAGTTGTACGCGCCCCTTCTAGAACACAATTTAAGGCCCTATTAGACATTTATTTATGCGAATCCTCGCGCTGGCAACCATGTTGCCCCGCGCTGAGAACATAAACAGCAGTGCTACACCCCTTTTTCACTTGTGCCTTTCAGCTGAATGACAGCCACTGACCGGCAAGAACAAAACCGACCCGGGAATTTTGGGCAAAAGCCTCGATCCTGTGTATCAATCCGTGAATCCATAATCCGTTTCTCAGCTTCCGCGCGCGCGTTTTAAGCTTCTGCGTTACCGCGTGCTCAGCTTGCGCTTGCCGTAGCATATTGTGCATTGCTCGTTGGAATTTGAAGTCAGTTTACTCGAAAGGATGACACTCAAGACTTGGGAATTAATTCAGCGTCTTTCTGTCAAATTGCGTTCATTCATTGATATCCCCAGAGAGTTTGGACCACACAAGCAACCGGTCCCGAACATAACCCGGTGCGAAGAGTTATCAGACGTCAAGTAAAAATGAGCTTGCGATGCGACCGTGAAGTATGGTGGACAGAGAAAGCCAGAGAAATGGAAGAGGCCCAGAAAGCCGGTAATCCCCGGAGATTATTTCAGTTGATCCGTGCAACCGGTCCCCGGAAACCAACTGTGAGTGGAACCGTCAAGCATCGGAATGGAACGACAATCTCGAATGAAGAAGAACGCCTCGGCCGGTGGTCTGAATACTTCGAGCAACAACTGTCGTGGCCACCAGCCGGCACTCATCTAGAGCCCACAGGTGAAGTTGAACCCTGGACGGTGAACGTGGAACCACCTACGGTTTCGGAGGTTCAAGACTGCCTATCTTCTATCAAGCGCCACCGAGCTGCTGGTCCGGATGACCTCTCACCCGGACTTTTCAAAGACGGGGGTGGAGTCCTCAGTCAACGCTCTTCTGATCTGTTTGCTTGCATTTGGGAAAAGGAGTCTGTCTGTCGGTGATAGTGCCCATTTCCAAAAAAGGGCGCGTAGTGAGTGTGGTAACCACAGGAGGATCAGCTTGACCCCGGTCGTAACGGGACTGTTGGCGTCAGTTGTGCTTCGTCGCCTTACGGTGGCTCGTGAGATACTGACTCGAGAGCAGCAAGCAGGATTCCGGCCTGGTAGGTGTTGCGTTGACCAAATCTTCACACTTCGTCAGGTGCTAGAACAACGCCATGCGTGTAAGCGACTCACAATTCTAGTATTCCTGGAAATCCGAGGCGCATTCGACTCGGTTGATCAGTCCATTGTTGACATGCTTGCTCACCAAGGAATGCCCCGGAAGTTTTTTCTCAGACTTCCGGACGTGTGAGAGTGTACGGAGAGCTCTTCAAAGCTTTCGTACACAGAGCGGTTTTCGTCAGGGATGCCCACTCTCTCCATTCCTTTTTAAGTTTGTGATCGATGAAATAATGGGACTAACGCTGAAGGGTCTCCAAAGTCATGGTGTTCAAATAGCCTGTGAAGAAAACCTTGTCGATCTGGAGTACGCAGATGACATCGGTCATATCTTCGAAGAGGAGGAGAATGTGTAGGTGTTTTTGGATGAACTGACCAAAGTCATCCCTTCCTTTGGCATGCACTTTGCACTCACAAAGTGTGAGGTCATGCTCGTGGACATGCAGTTACTGAACATGCCACTTACAATCAAGGGAGAGGCACCCGAAGTTGTGGAGCGTTTTACTTATCTCGGAAGTTGTATTAGTTCTGAATGTGATGTGGCAGATGAGGTGAATGTATGAATCCTCAAGGCCCAGGTCGCGTTTGCTAATTTGAGACATCTACGGCGCCAGAATGGTTCATCCCTGGATTCGAAGGGACGTGTGTATCAAGCTACAGTACGGGTTGTTTTGTTGTATGGCTGTGAGACGGCCTATTCGAGCAGCGGAACTGAGACGTTTTCAGGTGTTCGACAATCGTTGTCTCAGAACCATAGCTCATGTGGGTTGGTGTCGGCGAATCCGTAATGAGGCAGTTAAAAAGTGCGTTTTCGGTTGTGCAACTGGTACTCCCACAGAAGAATGTGTCTAACACCAGAAGCTGCTTTGGTTGAGGAATGTGTTGCGTTTACCGAACCATCGTTTGTCCAAGGGATTGCTGTTTTCCGTGCCCATTTCAGAGTGGCGTAAAAAAAGAGGTGGCCAGCCGTTGACTTGGCAGAGGAGTATGAAGGAGATCACGAAACGCTTGGGTGCTGTCGGTGCTGCTCGCCTTCCAGGTCGGAGACCGCGTCCTTCCCACTGCGCCTGGTTGGGGATGTTGAAAAATATGGCTGCTAATCGATGTCAGTGGCGTTCTTGTTGTCAGTTTCTATACAGATTTTCTGAATTAGTTTTTGGAGGTGTATAGACCTTGGAATGATTGTGTTAAGCTAGCACTAAGTCGCTTCCCCGTCCACGTTTTTTTTTCACAGCGGGGTCTTCAAACAAACTATGGTTGCACGGCAGTGAAGCATCAGTATTGAACAATGATGTCATGCTGTTGATGATCTTCCCCCCTCCTAACCCTACTTTGTAGGGGGCTGATGATTTCTTTCGTCCTGCATTGTTTTGGCATCAACGTCCGTGAGTCATCCAGCGCTGGTATCTACATACATTATGTGATCAATCCTCAAGCCTGGACACCCAATGCATCTGGCTGTTTCTGATGTTCGCACTTTAGGCAGGCCAACAAACTGCTCTTGCTCTCATACTGGACTTGCTTGACATTGATGTGTGTTGTGTATCACAAACACTGGACGCTTCCTGATGCGCACATCTGGTGACCAAAACGCCTCTGCAACAGGATATAAAAAGGTTCGTGTCGTTCTAAGTTACCAGACGGAAGGATCCCTGCTTGACTGGATACCCGTTGATTGTTTTCTCTGTGTGATTCGTGTGACAGCGTCTCTGAAGGAGTCACATAGGCGGGATGTTGATCATTGTCTGTTCGTCCTTCCTGCTTACGCTCCAACGGACTGTAGCTCTGACGTCAAACACAATGTTCCTTGAATTTTACGGTGGGCTGGAAGATCAGATAACGTTGTGGCTATCGGAGGTTTGAGTGTGTAAATGAACAGACTTAGCTCATCTGAGACTCAATTAGGTGGCGGACATGAATTGGATCAAATGTGTATTGACAGTGGCAAACGATTGCTTCAGGTATGTGCTGGCCGCAGGTTGTTTTCACGCAGTACTAATTTCCGAAATCACCGAAGTCCTCTGGTGATAGTGCCCATTTTTAATCAAAAACGCTCGCAGTGAGTGCGGTAATCAAAAGGAAACCAGCTTGAGCTCGGTCGTAACGAGACCTATGACGGCAATTCTTCACCTCCTTAAAATTGCTGGTGAAACACGGACTTGAGGTCAGAAGGTGGGATTCCGACCTGATAAGGGTTGTATCGAACAAAACTATCGGGTACTAGAACAACGCCGTACCTATCATCGAACCACATTTTTAGTATCCCTGGATTTCCAATGCACATTCTACTCAGTTGATCAGTACATTCTCCTTGACACACTTGCCAGACAAGGATGCCTCGGAAGCTTGTGGACATAAGCTGTTTGTATTCTCAGACTTCGCGGCGTATGAAAGTGTATATAGGGCTTTCCAAAAGCTACCTTACTCGAGGCGGTGTCCATCAGGGGTGTCCAATATGTCCTTTCCTATCTAATTTCATGACTCATGATATAATGAGACGAACGTCGAAAAATATTCAAAACATTGGTGATTGAATAGCTGTTCACGAAAACCTTGTCTATCTAGAATATGCAGACGACATCGCTCTCATCGTCGAAGAGGAGAAGGCGCAAGTTTTTTCTTGGCGAACCGACCTATGTCATCCCGTTTTTTGTCATGCGCTTTACGCCCACAAGGTGTAAGGCCATGCAATCACTGAACACGCCATCTACAATCCAGAGAGACACTCAAGGTTGTGGAACATTTTATATGTCGTTCAGCTGTAACGCCCTTTCGGTGCCGATGCCACCCAGGGGAAGCATGAGGGCTGGGATACTCCCAGGTTGCTCAAGCGTAGACAGGAAAGTCGAGATGCAGAGGTCGGGTTAGAACCACGGACCTTCCGGTCAGTAAATTCGCGCTCTAACCACTGAGCCATCTCGCCCCCGTACGTATCTCTGAATTTGTATTAGTTCCCACTTTAGTGTGACAGATGACGTCAGTGCACGAATCTGCAAAGCTGCGGGCGCGTTTGTAAATATGAGGCACATAGCATCAATGCGGTATATACCTGAATTTCAAGGGACGTATGTACCAAGCTACATTACGGGCTGTTTTGTGGTATGGCTGAGACGTGACCCTTGCGAGTTTTCGACAACCATACTGTCAGAACCGCAACCCATGTAAGTTGGTCCTGGCGAATACGCCTTCCTCGAAGTCTTTTCACATCTCGAAAGCCGGTCGAACCAGCCACCTTTCATGTTCGCAAACAATCTAGCAGAACTTCAATTGGCTCTTACTGGTACCTCGGATTCCATCTGCATTGATATGTACTGTGTCAGAAACAGGGATACAGAGTAGAAGTACCGTAATTGAGCTGACGGCCCCTCGCTCTTTTCCAGCTTCCGGGTGTGCATCTCGGGTGAAGTGAAGGTCGTTGCAGCTAGGTATGACGGAGTGGGTATTGTCTCACTCTTATCTATCTCATATCTGAACGTTGGTACTCTGAGAGTTGTGCAGTCTTCTCACCAACATGCTGGCAACAGCAAGGAAACGAAACTGACACATCACCAAGGCAATGGTAATATGTAACATACGAAATGATCTACTACATAATTTGTGTTGAATCTCGGGGGGTGGGAACATAGTTGACTTACTCTGTTGTCATCCACTGGACTGTTTGTTTGGCGACAAGCCACATTACCCGATATTTTCCTCCTATTGATCCCTCAGGGGATTAGGTCTGTGGTTATCAAAGGTAACTTCGAATGTGTCGTGGGCCATCGTCACCTGTTTACACTCCCCATTGAAATTCGAAGATTTTCGCTTTTCAGTCTGATACTATCCTCCAGCGCAGCACGGCGTTCGGATAAACCTGACTACCTTGTCGAAGGCCAACTTCAGTTGTTGTGCGTCCGATAGGCACAGGCTTAGGATAGATCTTGAATGACATACGTACTGGAGTGCGTCTCCCTATCTTGGGCAATGGATTTGTCCCTAGTTTATCAGACGTAGGTTTCAGCCGAGTGCCGATTGTTGTTTTCAAGCCATTTGCAGCACAATTTTCGCCCTCTCCCGTGTCATCGGGTTCTGTCAAGCAGTCAGCGGAAAACGAATGTGTTGTGCTGTTTCCATGTCAGGCAAGATTACATCCCCTGATAAGACATGGATGATGCATCCTGTCAAAAACGTTTCCGGTTCATTCCTTGTTGCATTTATCTTATCTCTACACAAGAAATCACATTTCGTCAATCAGTAGCGAATTTAGGGTCAGACGGGTTATCGTGTCTTTCCTTCGTACGTGAAACTTATCGGGTTGACAGGTATTAACTTAGTTATGTGTGTCTAACTTTTTTCAGGCTTCAGTGTGCTCCTGAAATTCACTGCTCAGTTTTCCGGTGTAGTTGAAATCCACCGATCGATATTTTTACACAAGACAACAATACGCCAGAACCATGGATATGTTGGTCGATGATGTCCCACTCGGTCTTGGACTCAAGGCAAATATCCGTTTAGTTGGGTTACTGTTCCCCTCAGAGGAATAAGCTGAAACGGAAGAAGCCGAACGAAGTATTGTCGAAGGCAAAGGAGGTATGTCGATGCCTTTTACTAACCATTTTCACATCAGGCTAAAAAATTCAGGGCGGCACATGATATTAAAGTTTCCGGAAGTTCTGCTCTTGGTGGTGAACTCCCTCTGCCAGAGATTACTTTTACCAGTCTTGTTTCCTCGTTCCCCAGCTTCAACCAGCATCTGCTCAACAATGTAGGTGAACTATCCTTTTCGGTTCCAACTCCGGTTCAAGCACAGGCCATACCAATTATGCTGAAGGTGGGTGGGACTGTACTTATATACAGTGTTCTCACGTGGGTGACTGATCTGTTTAGTTCGGTTTCGCTAAAAAACGTTGGTCCCCCTAAGACAAGGGAACAATGCAGCCTATTTTCCAACCGTTTTACCACATTACTTTATCATGCGGCATTATGTGGGTGCTTAGTTTTATCAGATAGCCGTCGAAAGATCGTTCCTGAAAATGCTTCCAGTTCATATTGAAAACAGCTTTAGAGGAAGTGTTCTTCATCACGGCTATTTTATCAGTCAAACGGGAATAGCTTATTGAAGAGTGCCCCCATAGATTTACAATTCAGTGTTCGTGCCGAAATTCCACTGTCTTCGGTGGAAACACCGGATCAGTAATGCTGACGCAATTTTCCCAAGAAATAGCTCGCCTGCGATAGATGGACCCATCACATTCCATAGGTTGCGCTAGCTTTGTCACGTGCTCCGTGTACCATTTGGCCGACTCCCTGGAAGAGACATTTTCGCACAGCTAGGCGAAGGGTGAAGACGAACCAGGGTAGATCAAACAATGGCCTGGTAGTGAAATATGAAAGCCATCACCGCAAACTACGCTGGTCATTGCCACCTTCCTGGAGGGGGACCTCGTGACAGTGCTCATTTTTGAGTCAGCATGTTTTCATGATCTGGAGCATGCACTGATCGTTTGAGCAACTCTATATGAACTTATTGAAATGGACGCCCTTCCAAATATGTCTTGCTTTGAACACGTGCCCTACTGGAGTGAACGTAACCAGCGAAAAAGCTTTCTTTCGTCATTTATTTCAACTATGCAACCCCACTTTCCTGCTCGACACTAGAATGCCGAAGTCGAATGATCACACAACTGGCCTCTTCACTGGCTTTCGTATCGGACTATTTGATGTCATCTTGGCTCTGGAGCATCTATCCGCTCTAGCCTACACAACTAAGGCTACTATCATTTGTCGCTATGTTGGTGTCCCTTGACTTCAAGGTTTCATTCGATTCTATCGACCGGTTAGTTCTTTTCAACACCCTTGCGCTTTCTGACAAGCAGTGGTGTCCGACAAGCTTGTTAACTCCGTTTTTGTTATTGATGAGATAGTGTGGCGAACACTAGGTCTCAGAAACCTGGTGTCCAGGTATCTGCGCGGGCTTTTTGTCGAATTGGGATAAGCTGGCGACATTGTTTTCATTTTTGAAGAAGATTGGGAAGCATAAGTACTAGAAAAGCTGGTCAGGGTCTTGTGGTCTTTCGGTGTGTGATTCGCGTCCACAAAGCTTAAAGTCATGCTTCAGGACGTACAGTGTTCGAACACGCGTCTAGCAACTCAAAGAGTAACTGAAGGTTGCGGTACACTATATGTATCTGGGAAGTTGCATTAGCTCGGACTGTGGTGTGACAGACGAGGATCAGAATTACATTTGCCACTACACGCCACTTGTGGCACCAAAAGGCACTTCATGGGGTCTCAAAAGGTGCGTGTACAAGATTACAGTTCTGGTTCCATTGTTGCACGTCTTTAAGACCTGGCGAATTCTGGCGGAGGATCTGAGACCTTTTATTTGACCCCCGATATCTCAGAACTGTAACTGGAATTGGCTGGATCCAGCAATGTCGCGATGAAGTGATGAGGAGACAGGTTTTGAGCGAAGCAAGGGATACCTTCCTCAAAGGATGCATCCAGCACTGCAAACTAAGTTAGCTGGACCATCTGTTATGCATACCGAGTTACCGTCTGCCAAAACGAATGCTGTTTTCCGTGCCTGATTAAGGGGTAGTAGAAACCTAGAGGTGGACAGCATTTGACATGGCAGAAGGGAATCATGTTACGAGACGTTTAGACCTTGTTGGTGCCGTTCGCTTTCCACTATGGGATGTAGTTGACCCTCACTGTGCTTGGCTGGCGGCTAACCGATGACAGTGGCGTCCGTGTTGCTAGCTTCTATTCGGATTGTCTGAGTGAATGCTGAAAATGTAGGTACCTCGGATGCTTGTGGTAGATTAGTCATAGTTTACCTTCTTCGTTCCGTTGCAAGCCCTTACTGAAATAAATAGACACGGCTGTATCTCAGTGAAGCACTAGTCTTCCCACCTGGTGTTGCTACCAATGATGATATTGATTATCTTTGTTCTCCCGGGTCTGGTGACCGCCAAATGTACCGCGGTCAGTTCATCCAGTTTTCATTTCACCACCAGCCGTTATGTCATTCGACCGAATTGTCGCCGGACCAACTTGACGCAGGTCGTTTTGAACTTTCGTTACTTGTGTTGAGTGTAGGTGTACACAGGAGGTTGAAGCAACCGGTATCATGAAATTTCTACTATGACTTCATCTTCAGTTTAAGAGCGGAAATCACTTTCGACATTTTTAAATAGATCCGCCTTTAGATTTTGTGCGCTGCTTACAAGGGGTAGACAAGGATAGTTGTTTCATGATACCTGTTTCTCAGGTAATAATACACTAAGTTCGCCGAAAAATTGGGACACCCATGACCGATTCATTCCTTACTCAATCAATTTATAAATCATGTGACATAGGCACAATGGTTCCAGCTGCTACAGTTTCGATCACCGGAAAGTGGGAGTGTGGGACATAGAGCTAAGTCTTGGAGACGATCGCATATCTGGTTAGCTCGGAGCTGGATAGTTACGCGATTGGACCATTTCTGTCAGCTTTATTAAACTGGTTAGTTGAGTCCCGGGATCCCCATCCAGAGAGGCGGCAGTTGTCGACCCGAATAAGTTTACTGGTTAGTGTATTCATACTTCGTTGTCAGGTCGTACAATGTCCACCTCTCGACCGCGTCTACTCAAAACAGGGCTGGACTAAAAGAGCTGTGCGAGGTAGACGGTCTTCTGGCGTGCGGGGCGTAATCTATGCAGTGCGTAACTCATCTATCGCAGGAGAGTTCCTTCTTCCTGAAACTATCTGGTGTATCTTAGCATTACGAATCCGGTGTTCCTACCAGAGCGGACCAATGCTTCGGAGACACTGATGTTCATACACTGACATCTTTCGTATGTCCTCTGCGCGCAGAAGCCACGTCTGATTCATAAAGCACTATGGATCGTACTGTCGCACTGTAAACTCTGCCCTTGGCAGACAAACTGACTTCATGTCGGTACCATAGGTATTGGAGTCTGCCTTTTCCGACTCGGAAGCAATCTCATATCCAATCATTCCATCGAAACTTATTCAGCTGGCCAGGAAAACAAATTTATCTATCAAGCATGAGGTCTGTAGCAGCACTTTACTCTTTGCAGGTGTGAAGTGCATGCCAAGCCGTTAAGTAGAGTTACGTAAGTTATCTAAAATCGTTTGCATTTTTGAGGGATCTGAACAAAGGAGAGCAATAGCGTCTGCATACGCAACGTCTATGAGCGAAAGTCCTGGAAGTATTTCGACTCCCGAGGTTTTGGAGACAGATAGAGAAATTTCAAACAGCACATCAGTCACAATATTGAAGAGGAAAAGTGCGAGAGGGCAGCCTTACCTTACGCCATCGGACGTGGTGAACTCAGGCTTTTACGAAGAGACTGGACCTTACTGTTGTGTGACGTTTTGCGCACCTCAGCGATCCATTGAGGTATACTGGAGAGTGTCCCGCGACACTCACAGAGTCTCATACCAGGCTGGTCAATGGTTAGAGGTCTGACAAACCCAGTCTCCTGGCCCTCCAGGTTGGGGGTTGGAACATGCGGCAACCTGTTCTGTAGAAATGGTAATGCTGAACTGCCCTACACCACTAAACCCATGCCACGTCGGCCGTCGCGTAGTGGCATCAGCCTGCTTCATACAGCAGGGCGGGTAAGCGAAAACAGGCTACTGTTGACGCTCCCTTCTTTCTCTTTCACATACTTTTTCTGCCCCCTCTGCTCATCCTATTAATAACTCTCTCCTTGTGGACCAAGCACTTAGGACTGATGACTCCGTTCGTCATGCATCGGTTTTACGTGCAGCATCTGCTCGTCACATGGTGACGACATCTTCAGGAATCTCCAAATCAGTCCTCAAGCCTCGACACCCAGTCTATCTGGCCGCATTCAGTGTCCGCACTCTGAAGCAAGCAGGACAACAAGCTGCTCTTGCACTCACACTGGACTCGCTTGGCACTGATGTGTGCTGTGTCTCAGAAACGAGAATTCAAGATGCAAGCACAGTGACTGAGTTGACCGCCCCGTCAATCTCCACTCGCTTCCGGCTGCGCACCTCTGGTGATTCAGAAGCTGCTGCGGTGGGATGTACAGGGTTTGGTATCGTGCTAATTCCCTGGGCGGAAGTATCCCTACTTGACTGGATACTTGTTGATAGTCACCTATGTGCGGTTCGTCTGGCAACGTCTGTGAAGAAGCCTTGCAAGCGGGAAGTTGGTAGATGTCTGTTTATCGTTTCTGCCTGTCCCAACGACGCCGTTAAAGACAGGTTTTACGACGCCCTGAATGCCCTGCTGCGGCGAGCTAAAAGCTCAGACATTGTGGTGGTTGCCGGAGATATTAATGCAAGAGTGGGGAGGCTTAGTGCATCTGAGAGTCAATTAGGAGGTCGACATGGACTGAACTCGGTACGTACGGACAATGCGGAACGTTTGCTTCAGCTGTGTGCTGATCGCAGGTTGTTTTTATGCAGTACTAACTTCCGAAATAGCCGGCTACAAACTCAAATCGGCCATATTGCCATCAGTTACCGATGGCGCGGATCAATAACCGACTGCCGGTCGTTTTGGAACACATTCGTGGACTCTGACCACGCGCTCGTCCGGAGTCGCTTCGCCCTACGTTTCCCAGGGCCGCGTAAGGTGTGGACGATTCGCCTAACAACTGAACGACTGGTAGACCCGGATGTCAGATAAACTTGTCAGAATAATCTTCGATAGTCTTTGCCAAATGCCCCACCATCAGATGTGAACTCACACTGGGACGAGATTGCCACCTCTTTGCATAATGCTGGGAATTTCGCCTGTGGCACAACCCAATCAGACACACCGAAGCACTGAATACCAGACCAAATGGTAGCACTAATTAAATGTTGAAGAAATATCTCAGCCGGTCCCGAACATAACCCGGTGCGAAGAGTTATCAGACGTCAAGTAAAAGTGAGCTTGCGATGCGACCGTGAAGTATGGTGGACAGAGAAAGCCAGAGAAATGGAAGAGGCCCAGAAAGCCGGTAATCCCCGGAGATTATTTCAGTTGATCCGTGCAACCGGCCCCCGGAAACCAACTGTGAGTGGAACCGTCAAGCATCGGAATGGAACGACAATCTCGAATGAAGAAGAACGCCTCGGCCGGTGGTCTGAATACTTCGAGCAACAACTGTCGTGGCCACCAGCCGGCACTCATCTAGAGCCCACAGGTGAAGTTGAACCCTGGACGGTGAACGTGGAACCACCTACGGTTTCGGAGGTTCAAGACTGCCTATCTTCTATCAAGCGCCACCGAGCTGCTGGTCCGGATGACCTCTCACCCGGACTTTTCAAAGACGGGGGTGGAGTCCTCAGTCAACGCTCTTCTGATCTGTTTGCTTGCATTTGGGAAAAGGAGTCTGTCTGTCGGTGATAGTGCCCATTTCCAAAAAAGGGCGCGTAGTGAGTGTGGTAACCACAGGAGGATCAGCTTGACCCCGGTCGTAACGGGACTGTTGGCGTCAGTTGTGCTTCGTCGCCTTACGGTGGCTCGTGAGATACTGACTCGAGAGCAGCAAGCAGGATTCCGGCCTGGTAGGTGTTGCGTTGACCAAATCTTCACACTTCGTCAGGTGCTAGAACAACGCCATGCGTGTAAGCGACTCACAATTCTAGTATTCCTGGAAATCCGAGGCGCATTCGACTCGGTTGATCAGTCCATTGTTGACATGCTTGCTCACCAAGGAATGCCCCGGAAGTTTTTTCTCAGACTTCCGGACGTGTGAGAGTGTACGGAGAGCTCTTCAAAGCTTTCGTACACAGAGCGGTTTTCGTCAGGGATGCCCACTCTCTCCATTCCTTTTTAAGTTTGTGATCGATGAAATAATGGGACTAACGCTGAAGGGTCTCCAAAGTCATGGTGTTCAAATAGCCTGTGAAGAAAACCTTGTCGATCTGGAGTACGCAGATGACATCGGTCATATCTTCGAAGAGGAGGAGAATGTGTAGGTGTTTTTGGATGAACTGACCAAAGTCATCCCTTCCTTTGGCATGCACTTTGCACTCACAAAGTGTGAGGTCATGCTCGTGGACATGCAGTTACTGAACATGCCACTTACAATCAAGGGAGAGGCACCCGAAGTTGTGGAGCGTTTTACTTATCTCGGAAGTTGTATTAGTTCTGAATGTGATGTGGCAGATGAGGTGAATGTATGAATCCTCAAGGCCCAGGTCGCGTTTGCTAATTTGAGACATCTACGGCGCCAGAATGGTTCATCCCTGGATTCGAAGGGACGTGTGTATCAAGCTACAGTACGGGTTGTTTTGTTGTATGGCTGTGAGACGGCCTATTCGAGCAGCGGAACTGAGACGTTTTCAGGTGTTCGACAATCGTTGTCTCAGAACCATAGCTCATGTGGGTTGGTGTCGGCGAATCCGTAATGAGGCAGTTAAAAAGTGCGTTTTCGGTTGTGCAACTGGTACTCCCACAGAAGAATGTGTCTAACACCAGAAGCTGCTTTGGTTGAGGAATGTGTTGCGTTTACCGAACCATCGTTTGTCCAAGGGATTGCTGTTTTCCGTGCCCATTTCAGAGTGGCGTAAAAAAAGAGGTGGCCAGCCGTTGACTTGGCAGAGGAGTATGAAGGAGATCACGAAACGCTTGGGTGCTGTCGGTGCTGCTCGCCTCCCAGGATGAGGACGGCATGATCCTCACTGTGGCTGATTGGAGACATTACAAGGAATGGCTGCCAACCGATGTCAGTGGCGTTCTTGTTGTCATTTCCTATCCAGATTTCCTGAGTGAATGTTTATGGTGTCGGCACCTCGGAATGATTGTGTTAAGCTAGCACTAAGTTCCTTCTCTGTCCACCTTTATTCTTTTACTTACAATATGGCTTTCAATTAAATCATGGTTGCACGGCAGTGAAGCATCGGTGTTGAACACCGATGTCATGCTGTTGATGATGAGGACGGTGAACTCAGACAAACGGTTGCTGATTACTCGTACGCGCCCACAGGAGTTCGCATACAGTGTCCTCATAAGGGATGTAAATTTGGAAGGGGCATCCTTGATCATCAACAACCGCCGCCACTGTTTCTCATGATCGATAGTGTGAAAAGGATATTTCAGTTCAAGGAAATCAATTAACGTGGGACGTTTGAAGCAGTGACGCTGTTCAAGAATTTAGTATAGATTTGGTCGACGCATTCTTGAGCAGGGGATACCTACATTAGTTTTCATGAACCTGTCTCCCGATAATCGATCAACCGACGTAAAATAATGCCAGAGAGCACCTCAGATGCGATAGGCACCAGGTTGATGCGGCGACGGTTTCCGCATGACGTTCTTACGCCCTTTTTGAACACTGCGATCATTGTCGGTGAGCTCCACTCGGCTGGTATTCTGTTTTGACTCAAAATCTTGTTCAGCGTGGATATCAGACTGTTTATTAGGACCTCGCCACCTTTGAGGATTACCGGGTACAGATTACCTGCGTCAGGCGCCTTGTCGTGCTCGGGGATTGATATCTCACGCATTATTTCTGCTGTTGATGGTGGAAGAAGAGAAGAAGCGTTCAACTGTAGCACCCTTTTGGTGCTTAGCTGTCATGCCACCCAAAGGAAGCACGAGGGCTGGAATACTGCCAGGGTTGCCTAAGGTAGACATGGAAATCGAGGGCAGAGATCGGATTCGAACCATGGACCTTCAGGTCAGTAAATTCGCGCTCTAACCACTGAACCACCTCGCCCTCTAAGCTGGAATCGATGTTCCATTCAGGCCCGCTCAGTTCTACCAGCGCTTGTGATGATGGAGACAAGCTAAACTGTTTTTTTTGAAGTGCTCAATCCATTGCTGGAGATGATAATTCAGAGCGTGAATTGCTGTTCCGTCTTCACATACTGTTTTACTTACACATATTTTCTTTTGACCGGGTGGTCGAATAAGCTGAAATAAAACGCAGCTGTTGCCTGTAGCGGAAGCCCTCCTCATCTCCTGGGTCTTGAAAGTCCTCCGGCGTCCTCTGTCATCTTTGAAGCTCCTGATTATCCGGTGTTTGAGAGATCTGCTTGCGCCATAGCAGTCGCTTTTCTGGTAGCAATAAGATTTGTTTATCTCAACGATATCCAGTGTTCATTTGGTGGAGTCAGGTGGCGTGGACAGAGTTCTGAAAGCTGAGAGTATAGCTTCTTTAACCCACTTCCATTCGGCCTCCAAGAAATCTTCGCCATCTGCATGACTGTGCGCTTTCAGTGGCTTTTCAGCCAGGTCGGCTCAATAACCTTTCATCGACTGAAATTGTCGGAGTGATGCATGGAATTGCTCTGCTTTGGCAAGCGTAATGTTGTTGGAAAGCGTGGTGATAACTGGGTCCACACAATAGCATGATCATAATCAAGCTGCATACACCAGAGAGAACGATAATCTTTAATTGGCGCTCTCCATCGGTAACTGATAGCCACGCCGTCTAATTGAGTCGATGACTGTTTTGCGGTTAGGGCCTCCAGGTAAATCGATGTAAGCGTTTGTGTTGGAATTTTGTACTGGCCAGGTGAAGCAGTCGCTCCCACTATCCATACGCTGAGCATTGACTCCATATCTACCACCCAGCTGCACTTCTTCCGGACTTATTCGTCTAACTTGAACATTCATATCACCCGCTAGGATTACAGTGTTCGCCCTTGCTGATTAAAGCGGTCGTAAAAGACCTTGATAAATCTCGTCTATCTCGGTCTCAAAACTGCTGTTTACCGGGGCGTATGCCGATGCGACAAATAAACACCGTTTATTTTAACTGGGATAGGCAACCGCATATCGCAAAGACGGCCGTTTACTGGGGTCCAGTCCAGTAAGGCGTTTTCAGCTGAGTACAACTCCCACACCATTAATACCACGAGCCATTGCGTCAGGATCACCAGATGCCCGAGGGGTGAAACGTGGAATATCTGGGCTCCTCCTAAGAGGCTTGAGGAGCACGACCGAAGTGGGCTCTTGCATGCGTGTTTTGCAGACACAACATACATCGAAAGAATGGGAAAGCAAGTTTTTATCATTGCCTGTTGCCCAATTTGACATACAGTACGGGCATTAGACCTCATTGTGGATCAGATCTTTTGATGTCAGTAGGTGACTTTCTGTTTATTTTTCTGGGCAACGGTTTAGAGACGGAAGAATGGCTAGGGGGTTGGCAGATGGGTGGTGGGTGGGTGGTGGCATTGTATTGACCAACGCCTGGGGAAGGGGTGTAAGGGAAGGTTGGTGAGCGGAAAGCTGCAATGGTGAATGATACCGAAGTTTGAGGTACCCAGACTGAGCCTTCGATTCAATAGTCTGACCCACAAGACAGTTAAAATATCTCAGGTTTTGTTGAGGGACTCTGTTCCTAGCCTCTCACTCAAACGTCTGAACCACGAAGCAGCAGTTGTTAGGGTCTTCTGGGGGACCCTCCCCTGAGCCGGTGATCCAATAGTCTGACCCACTTGTCTGTAGCAGGCTGACCTGGCCCAAGGACGCATGGAGTAAGGCATTACTGTCTCACTCCTAATGCAGCTGCGCGCAGCAGGTGTCTTTTGAGCAGCACCAGACTCTTTAGTTTTAAAAGTATTCCGACCGTATTGAATGATGCGCCGGCGATCACGGTCAACCTTTGCGCCATCGGAGTGTGTCTTTTTTAGGGCCGACCTTTTCCAACCCGTCCTTACCCGGGGGAAGGCAGCATCGCTGCTTCCATAAATATGGACATGATGGTCGTCTGAAGGGAAAAGCCTTACTGCCTTCACACTCCAATCACAGAGAACAATACGATTCGTAATGCGATTACTCGCAGTACGGGGACTAGCCTTTCTCGTCAGGCTGCACTCCCTTCGGCTTCCTGGCATGGTTGAACTTTTAGGAACTGAGCTGCAGCCAGTATGGGCGTATTCCCAAGTTTTTGTCAACCTTAAGTTATTCTTCAATACTAAGTAACTCTCAAAGAGTACGTTTCGCATGCTTGTCATCTCTTATTCAAACCCAGCGGTTTCAGCCTTCTTAGGATTCATCAAGTAAGTCTAGTCTCCGAAGTTCTGTCAAGTTTATTTCCCACTTGAGCACCAACTTGTGCATAGTTTGCAGTAAGCACCCAGTTTCAGGTGAGCCAGGTTCAGCTAAATTTCATTCGAATCCCTCATCCGTAGTATTCTTCGACTGAATGTGCTGCACAACAACCGCCTTATGCTTTTGCTTAAACGGATTTTGTCTTTTCCTCTCTATCCGATATTGATTGTTTTGACGCATTTATCTGATCAGCCTTCCTTCTGGCTCCAATTAAGCCTGTAACATAACACCTTTAAGTGCGTAATAATGACGTTTTCATATCGCTGTTGTCGTTTCTTGAATGGAGATTTCGGAAAATGTGCCCTTTCTCAATTGACGGTTTGAACTGTTATTTCGTGCAGGCAACCGGGTTCTCCAGCCTGTGCGATTGATTCAGCTAACGAACTAGTTTTAGAGGTTGTGTCGTCGCATGAGTTTTGGAATTCCCGCTTTGTACTAAACATTGAGTTGTACTATCAGTGCAGCTTCAGTAGCATGTACAAATGAAAGTAACCTTGGGCCGTAGTTTACTGGACAATAGCGGTGGAATTAAGCAAGCCAGTGACGTCGGCAAACCATTAATGGGAATTCAGGTTTAAGGAAATCGTTCCCCTTTGGATTAGGAAGAATGGTCCTTCAACAGTAGCACTTGTGTTAAATTTATATGGTTTTATAAAACTCATCATTGCCAATGGACGCGTTCATTCTTTTGGAAACTAACCACGTCGTCCAGTTTGGATTCCCTTTCGGTGGCTAGTGCCTGGTTGCTCAGACGAAGATAGGAGCACTAAAGAAGCCAGAGCTTGGTTCGAACCATGGACCTCCCGGTGAGTAGCATCGCGCCTTAACCGGTGAGCAATCTCGAGCCTGTGAAATGGGAGAACGCTTCATCTCTTAATTTTTCAGTCGCAGCACAATAAGCTATGCGTTGTTGTTAATAAACTTTTGGTGTGTTATTTCATATTGCATTTTTTGGAGTCAAGCATAACCTTAACCCACTCGTGGAGTCATTTGACTATATTTCGGTCAGGAAACAGTACCGATCGTTTGGTACCGTGCTTGCTGCTCAAGGTCGTGAATGAATTTTTCGGCTAGTAGGTGTACATTTTTTTGTCTTGTTAGTGTTGTACTTACTGGAACTTTCTAGATTTCACTGTTGCTGTTCTGGTGTCGCGTCACTTATGGTGATGAACTTTTCGTAGTTCAATGTTGATTAAGGTAAACAATCCGGCCTGTTCTTGCTCTTCCCCATAATAGCTGTATTCTCCTAACCTTCCATCCCTCACCCAGAATGGCAACTTACTCGCGTGTGCCCCAACAGGATCCGGTAAAACGGCTGCCTATTTGATTCCCGTTTTACAAGCTTACTGCGCACGGTTCCTTACTACGGACACAGAACTCGAGGTGAATCAGTCCTCGCAGCCAAAACCTACTTCAGAGACTCCACACAGGATCGCCCTTTTCGGTCTTATCCTGGCACCAACTCAGGAACTTGTTCGGCAGATTTGGTCTGAAGCGGCCCGTTTATCTCGTGGACTGCCTGGGGGGCGTTTCATAGCATATTTGAGTCGCCGACACTACGCATATAGGGGCAAGTCAAAGTATAAAGTGAACTCAAGAGAAAATTCGAAGAACGCTCTCACGAAACTACGTGAACTACGATTACCCCGATCCACTCGAATCCTGGTGGCAACGCCATGTCGGATGGCGTTCTTACTGTCATTAGATCCTTCACTTTGTCCTTTTGATGTTTCCAAGTAAGTCTGCAATCGCCGTCCCACCATCCTTCGTTTTTGTGAGCTCCTTCATTCCATGGTTGTTTGCGATGTGCATAAGCACGTTTCTTGCTATGTACTTCACAAATGGGCAACCTTCAAACCATGGTCTTCCACCTGCGTGATGCAATATCATGGTGAGTCTGACCACTGATGAGACCCCTTTCTTGGGCTGTGCAGAAACCGTGAAAAGCTTTCCCAGGAATGCAATGTTTACTGACAGCCATGAAGGTTGCGATTCCCCGTACTACGTGAAGAACATAAAAAAAACCCCTCTGCGCTTGCCGCACTTCGGTTCCTAGAACAATGAAGAGCTCCTTCCCTTCAGTGGATGGATCTATGCAGAATGTAAAAAGCTGGAAACTTTGAGCTCAATTGTGACGCGAAATACGTCTCGACAACTCCATCGCTGTTTTGACTGCTTCTAAACGGATTTACCGGGAGTTTATGGCGGGTCCTTTAGCAGCGGTTGTTCTCCTCGTTTCGTTCGAAATGAGGCACTTGACGCACCTCCACTGTGGCAACTAACATTTCCCCCCTTTTACTGGGTTTATTTGAACAAGATTGATTGATATATGAAACGGATCTACTGGTCTACTGGACTAACGTACGTCTGTGTGTATTTGTTTCATCACGATCGCAGAGTGGTCGTTGTCATACGAGCATCCTTCCAGTCCACTCCAATAAACTCCAACGATATGCACTGTCACCCTATTGTAGACTGGAGAATGCTGGTTAACGAAGGCAAAGTTTGTGATGTTACAGTAATTTAACTAATGGATGGTGTGGCCGGTGACGTTGCCTTTAGTCATCCTCTAGTCATCATCATACTCGCTCCAATAAACGAGAGGGTGTTATTTTATTATTGGTGACAGCCACATGCAGGATGTGAGCAGAAACTAGGACGTACCCAGAATAGCTCTCGGCCATGATTGTTATCAAGGTTTTCTTGGTGTAGAGTCTGTTCGCCACCTTTTTTAGAGCTGCGAAAGCCGTATCATGACTGTGTCCAATGTTCACTTGAAATCGTGTTTGTTGGTTTTCGCATTTCGTACTATGTCTTGATATTGTGGGATGCGTCAGCGTTTCAGAGACGAGATTGCAGTTACTCCGCGCATATTGTTGGATTAGCCATAAAGTGCTACTTATAATACCTATAGATCTTGTGGTTTTATCTTGTCCTGTGATCTTTTTACTGGGTATTCTGTGTGCATCTTACAGTTGTTTCGGTCGTATTTACCTCTCCAAATAATCTCCTTCAAGGATCGTCTCGGTTAGGTGTAAAACAGGCAAGATGAGACAGCACGCATATGGTTTTCGTTGTATGCCTGTCGAAGATTATACTTGCAAAAAATCCGGCACATCTCCATAGCACAATAATCACTAAGTTTCGTCTCATCCAGTTTCCATCTTCCTAAATCATACGGAAGGAAAACCACTTGTGGTTGTCTTGAACCAGAAGACAAGCAATTGCAGACACCTAGTAAACACATTAGGACGAGATTTTGATGAACGTAGGCTTTTTGTGAGTGCTCATCCTATAGCTTTTGAGGCGCAGTGTGCCAGTGCGTGAACCGTACGAACGACAGCAAGCATTCAGGTCACAGATGTCACATAGAATTCTCGCCGATCTGGCTATGATGAGTTACGGTACCTACACTGGTTTCCATCAGATGCTTGCTCAGTGGGCGAGATGGCTCATTGGTTAGAAATCCGAACGTACTGAATTTAATTTAGTATTTACTGACCGGAAGGTTCGTGATTCGAATCCGAACTCCGCGTCTCGACTTCTTTCTAGACTTGGGCATCCTGGCAATGTCCCAGCCCTCGTGCTTCCTTCGTGTCGAATGGTAGCTAGGCACCGAAACGGTACTGCAGCTGAACGATTTTCTTTTGCTCATAGCATGAAAGTTGAAACGATAAGCTCGTCAACTGAATGGAGTACAGTGCATTTCCTTCCTTTCGAGTCCTGAGGTTGTGTTGGTGCAGTGTTGTGTGTTAGCAACATCTTGTGAAGACGGTTTGCGGTGTGAGTACCAATCGCGTTTCAAGGCAGGCTACCATTTGTCTTGCCAAGGTGTTATTTGGCATTGGCACCATAACTGAACCGATGTACTACATCTGCGTCTGAATATGCGTACGCTCGTTGGCCAGAACTAGCATGCAAGGCTTCGTCCGCTGTTTTCGTTAACTTAACCTTTCTGAACGGATGCACTTTCTTGCTATTCTAGACCTGAAATTTACGATGTCATCGATTTTGAAGGGCTTGTTTCCTCGATATGTGCGAACCGACAAAACCAGCTCGTGTAAAATCAATACTTGTGGTACGGAACTACTCTTTTCAAAGGAGAATGTACTACCATTCTAATCTCGATCAGCGGAGGATCAAGAATAATAAATCTGGAAAGAAGTTTCATATTTCTGGATGACGAACTATTCGAATGAAAACATTAGATATTAGACATTAGATACACAGTATATTTTGGGGGGAACGGAATCACAAACCCTAGTAAAAGTGAAGCTCGGCAGCACGCAAGCAGGTTGTAGTACAGCAGTGAAGCGTCGGTGTTGATGATGATGATGATGAGTATGTGAGAGTACAGAGACCCACAAATGGTTTCTCCGTGACCATATCAGCACTGCTTTTTTCTGGCACACATCTGCAGGAGGCTGCATCGATTCCGTAATCATCTATTTCTGGAAACAAATGTCAGGCGACGGAGCAGATGAAGTGTTCACTGACACTGGAGAGGACAGCGGCGTTGATGTAATATGGACGGAACCAGTCATAGCTACGTTGCCTGTAGCGAAGCTGTTCAAAAGTGTGCAGTTTTCTTTTCTTTATTTTTGTTTTTATAATTTGAAAATCAACCCATCGTGTGCTGCGCAAGAGGATGGTCAAGTGCTCAACAACTTAGTAGCGAATATATTTACTTGAAGTGGCTTTTAAGAACAGACCACTTGCATCCCGCTCTTTAACTGTAGTTGAAGTGCATTTGTATCAATCAATAGACAGTGTGCCAGTTTTATGACATAAAAGTACATCACTCATCCATATATTGTCTGCTTTTTAACAAATTTCAGTCAAATTCATCGATTTTTTGTTCAGTTCTCCCACTCTAGTTTGTCCGACCTTCAAAACGCACAGCCGCTTAAGTGTCTGTGCATGGGCGAGCGTGTTGCATTTCTGCTATCGGGTTATTTCACATTGGAACAACCACATTCCGCGTTTCAGCGCGTGTCAATCGATGTGAAATATGACCTGAAGGATGAACATATGTTTCTTCCTGTGTGTTGACGTAGTCAACAGACAACCTCGGGATAGGCACACGGAGGCGTGTGTGCGTTTCAGCACTTCAACTAAGTCAGCGAAAGTTCCTATTAATCCCATGACTGCTTTTCACTAAAGGGTTCATTTCTTCCTTTTTTCGTTCCTTTTTTCATCGCGCACTATCGTATCATTCGATGGATATGACCGACGTGGACTCACCACATTACTATGAGAGTCAGGTGACTGCATACTAGTGATGACAATCCCAAAATTTTATGGTTGTGGATACCTCGTTGGAATCGAATTCCACCCCTTCTTATGAATTTTCGTAGGGCTTTAATACAACAATGGGAAGCTGTTATCTGTTGACCTTATTCGGACAACTGACAATAGATCTCATATGAAATCACAGGTGTTGAAAAATTGCCTTTCTGTTATCCCTCTGTCTATTTTAATAATGATAATCCCAACGTTCACGTCCTGTCTGATCGATTTTTCTACCCTCAGTTGTCGATACTTTCCTATTTACCTTATTTGACTACTCAGTAGGTTTTTCGTATGGGACCGCTAGACTTGGTACTCCAGTTAAACTAGTGAAAACCTAATGGTCAACTGTCGTACCTTTCGGTTAACACAACCCGAAGGTTGCACAATTAATGAAAAAATTAATCGTTCAGCTGTAGCACCCTTTGGTTGCCTAGCCGCCATACCACACGAAGGAGGCACGAGGGCTAGGATACTGCCAGGTCGCCCAAGCCTAGACAGGGGGAGTCGAGTGGCAGAGGTCGGGTTCGAACCACGGACCTTCCGGTCAGTAAATTCGCGCTCTAACCACTTGGTCCATCTCGCCCCGGAGGTTGCACAAGGGAAGGGATGCTCCTAATTTGTTTATGCGTATATGGATGCAACCTCAGAATCGAATCCATCAAAAGTGATCACCTTGACCCCTTGGCTTTCTTGGACTTTCTCTGCAACGAACTAGGATACGGCAAATTTCTTCTACTGAAATCATTTCCCCTGACTCTGTGGGGCGTTAAATGGACCCAAATTTCGTGCACTAAAAACAGTGGACCTGAAGCAGCATCCCCCATCCGGAGATTGTCATGCGTTTCGAAAAAAAATTGGAACTAGGTTCCACAACTACCTTGCTTATGCCTTTCAGTTGTGTTGCATTAGTGATCCCGCTTATGTATTCTTTTTCGATAATTGTACCTGGTCAGTAAGTAGTACCGAAATGCTCGCATCTCGTCAATATGGGCCTTCGTATTGTTTTGACCAAACAGATGAAAGGAGCTGCACTTTAGGTTTCTTCAACTGGTTGATGGCGTTCTGACCGCTTTTTTGAGTATGCCTCACGAAGCAGGCTTTATTGCATTATTTTCCTATCGAAAAGGCCTTTATCTCAGTCCGTGTATCTTGGCTCGAATAACAGTCATTCATTCCCTTAATTTTAGTCTAGTATGGTTAGTGCTAGACGAATACGACAAAATGTTGGAGGTTGATGTCACAAACGCAAATTCCCTGTCTTCCAAAAAAATGCGCCATCGTGTTCGAAGCTTTCGGGATCAAATCAATCCAATTTTTCACGCCTTGAGTAAGGCTAGATCGATTTCTGGTAGGCAGCCGAGTGTGGCCATGTTTTCTGCTACCGTGCCGGATGAGGTCGTGAACTGGGCACAGTCAGAGTTGCCCGCTTTGTTATCGCCAACAGGTGAACAGGCATCTGGGAAATTTGAACTTGTACAACTCTGTGTGGGCACTCGGTAAGTTCTGTTCACTATATTCGATGCAAATTTTGGCACTATCCTTTTTTATCCAATCAAACAAGTGTACTCAGCTGTGTCCTGGATCAGTGACACAATCTTGTGTTTTTTTGGTTGCATCGATGGAGTGATGTTTTCAGCGTCCACACGCCTGGGCGAGGGTGGAGCGTTGTGGTGTATCTATGGTTCGTCATGTTATCAATAACTTTAACGTTTGATATGAGGCATTCTGTGGAAATCTACGCAAGTGTTTGGTGTAAGTTATTTTTCTCGTGTTTCCTCCAGTCTTATTCCAGTTGAATTCATTTATTGAAATTAAAAGTGAATGACAAACTTCCCTCCTAGGTTTTAAGCCAATCAGTCCGATCCAGCTGCTGTACTAAGATTCATACAGTACCTCAATAAATGTGGTCGCATTTCCCTTGTGAAATCTTAACCCAAAGGCCACGTGATAAATTTTTCTGTCACTATTATGGTAGCCGACCTGATTCCCTCTTTCCGTCACTCAAAATAGCGTGGCCTTCATCTGTTATCGCTTATGGGTTTCTACAAGGAGCTTTCTTAATTCCATGTCTTCTATACCTTCAGTTTCTAGGTGTCCGTCAATTATCAACACGGGGACCGCACATTGCAGTGCGCTTTGTGCTAACTGTGATAGTCTCAACCTCTTGCGCTTCTGGTCACTTTGTTCCGACAACCCCCTTGTCACACCACTATAATGGCTTCCATCGAAGCGGGTGTTGCAGTGTCACAAACGTCGGTCACCAATTTTGTCTGCAAGTACTCGGAGAATGAATAAAAGACATTATTTATCTACGTTTTGGGGAAATAGCTGCATACCACCTGGCCGATACGAGCAACCACTGGGTTGACGTAGGCGTTGTTAGCCACTGACGAACAGAACGAAGGGTTTTACACAGTTGGGTCCGAAACAGGCTGATGTGTGGTCAGCTGTCCCTTCGTAATATCCTCGACAACAAATCCGTAAATAAGTAAGGTTTATAATCAAACCTTAATCCTTCGTTAAAACAAAATTGGCTGTACATTTTGCTGCCCAATAAGCAACTCAATTGTCAACTGAAGAATGTGGACATGAACACATTACATGACATAAGCGTGAACCGACTAGCATCACACACTTCCGCCTTATTAAGTAAACTAATCACTTTGATACGTGAAATCACTGATTTTCAGTGTTTCTCAGCAAGATTCCTGGTTTGTCGACATACAACCTTGAGGTTCGTGCACCCTTTTAATGTGGGAGTTTATTTAGACGGAATTCATTGCTGTACTGTACGAATATAAAGCTCAGTGTAACGGGCGGTGTATCATATATGGCCATAAAGCATTTGACGCGTGTTAAACTGTGTACCTTTGTGAATTATTTAAACCAGGAACCCATATTTTTTAATAGTCAACAATTTCGATAAGAAGCTTCATCCAACGCTGGGAATGGTTGCCAGGTTACCTTCCCCAGTGCCATTTGGTCGGATACAACCGGAGGAAACAACAAATCAAGAGTAATGTATTCCCAGATAATCAGATGGAGGCACTGGCCAAAAGGGACTGTAGCAACGGTTGTCAGTTATACCTGATATCACAGTTTCATATCGACCAGATCAATGTTGAAAACCCCCGCGAACCAACTTTCCTTTTTCCTCCTCTAGGAACTCGGCTGTTTCAACAGTTAAGCAAGAGCTACGATACTGTGCCACCGAGGAAGGCAAGTTGTTAGAAATTCGTTATTTATTGGTTCGGGGCCTGCTGTATCCGTGTCTGATTTTCATGGAGTCACGAGAACGGGCAAAAGAGCTGATCAAAGAAATTCTTCTCTCGGATGCCAACGTTCTGGCAAACGTCATTTCAAGCGACAAAACTGACGCTCAGGTCGGCATCTCATGGTTCCTGTAAAACAGTATTTTCTAATTTTTACATGGACAGGAAGAGCATAAACTTTTATTTTTAAGACAAATTGATTATTTATGGGATATTTGTTCTAGTAAACGATATAGAACAGAATTCAGTTAATTTCAGGCCTGTTTTATAAGTGTGCACAAGTCGCCGCAGATCTTGGTGGAAATAGTTGGGTTGCTGTGAAAATCCCGGCTTATCAGAGTTCGACTGAGTTGTCGCTGAGTTCCTGTTCTAGTAATTTGCAATCGTGGGCATGATTCGGTAGATTTTGAAAACTAATCGTGCATTGTATCCCCTTACACATGTCTCTTCCATGAAGTCGCCTAGATGGTTGGGGTGCGGTAAAGATAATCGCATGTATGCACAATGATCAAATAAATCCGACTCAGTTAGAATATCCGAAGATTGACGGGCAGACTTAGCGTGACCGCACATATAGTTACAGTACTAACTTATCATGATAGACGGTTTAGCCAGATAGTTGTATGCTACTTACCATGTAATACGCTTTGACCAACGACGAGGTGTATGTACTAACATCGCCAAATATGCGAAACGCCACTCCCAATCATCAAGTGCCTATCCATATAACCTGAAAAAGTTAGCCTTTTTACTACGACTTCGAAACAACGACGGAATGTCAGATAAGACTGCACGGCGCACTTCTGTGCGTTCTAGGGTCTGGTTGATACGGGATGATTTTCCTATCATCTTGCTATACCTTGCCACCACCATGTTCGCTGGTACACTGGACATTAGTCCTTAACAAGGCACGATGCTGGTGCATCGGCCTCATGATTTCCCATTATACCTGACTCTACCCATCACCTTGTGAACCTTTGTTTGACCAACGCCGAAAACTATATCACATCCCTTGTAGGGGTTCACTTGCTTTTTATCTTTTGCATAACTCCCACTCCAATCTCCAAAGATGCGTTCTTCTCAAGGAAGGGAGCAAAGAACTAATCACAGCGCATCAAATTTAGTGCTCGTACTTGATCAAGTTGATCGCTTGTTATGCACTCCAATTTGCCCGTTTGGCAATGAACATCATTATGCAACTCCAAGGTTAAACCGAACGAAAACCACATGTGCATACGGGTTAGAATTCTGGGTCGTTGCTCTGTCAGTCCCGTTTAGGTGGACTGACCCTGTGAATGATGTTATTTCTGGGTTCCTACTATGCAGCTGCACCGTAGACGATCTATCACTCTCGGTTGAAAATACAATGTCCCGTAGCAAGATGTGAAGCTGCTTCACGGGACGCAATTCACTGTTCCTTGGTCTCTTCCGGAGATACGGTATCCAGTGCATCTCCGGTGTTCTGAACAAAAACGTCCCTAAGATAGAGTCGCCCTAGGGAAGGATGGATGTTGCTGTGGGTCACCGTGGCAACTAATCGGAACTGTGGAGGTCGGGACGTCGCAGCGTCCCGTTTATATGTCGTTTATGAAGTAGAAATTTTATAGTGCTCTTTCGGTTTTCTTTTTGTTTACCCCAAAACGTATCCAGCGTGCCGCAATTATCCGCGCGTTTCGCGAGGGACAACTCAACGTGCTTGTCTGTACGGATCTCCTCGGTCGGGGAATCGATTTCAAGGTAATATTCTCAAATATGTCCAAATTCAGCATCTATCCTTATTATTTTCCTGGACATATTCCCCATTAGTTCCATGAATCAACCCTCAGTCTTCCTCCACTTGATTTCAGCGATATGGATTCCGTTATTTTAATCAAGACTTTAGACGCCATTCCACATTCCTAATACATTTCTCACCTTAACCGTCTCCACTCTTCAATTCAGTTAATGTAGCTCGGTACTCTGAACTTACGAATTCTGAGTGCACCTCTGTAATTAGACGTCATCTAACTTCGACCATTTTTCACAGATCAAATAATTGAAACTGTTCTCATGGAACTGGGATTTATCGCTTCTGGCTCAAAATCGCTTGTTCTATCTGTTTTTACACACCCTCAATCCGATATATCTCGTTCTATCCATCAGGGAGTGAATATGGTAGTCAATTACGATCTCCCTCCATCCAAGGAGGAGTACATTCACCGAGTTGGAAGAACTGGCAGGGCTGGACGACTGGGACGAGCTATAACATTGTGGACAGACGCGGATCTACCACGACTTGGTGAAGTCCTCAAAGTTATGCGACGTAGTGGCTGCGAAGTGGACCCGGAGTTGGAACGCCTGGTTGCTGAGTGGCACTCACGCAGGTCTCAATTTTTGCTTGCCAAACGCAAGGGTCCAGCAGCTGGAGATTTGTCTGAACACGTGATTATCAGTAAGCGCCGTGGCGAACGACGCCTAATACACAACTTGATCAGGAAGCAAAGGCGGAAAGGGATCAAAGTAGACACGGAAGATGACGCAAGTGCAGATTCAGACAGACAGTGAGTTTTATTTTCCATTACAATGTTTGACGACTACGGTCCGCTAGCCAGTCGATACACCGTATCGCAACTGAACTACACTTTGTTTGATAGGCATGGGTGGTAAACGTAAGGTTGCACCAACCGGATGTTGGCAGATACAACCTACGTTTTTTACCGTTTCAGCATATCCAATCGGACCCCAAGGACTGGCATCCTTATAAGGGTAACCTTTATCGCTCCATTGACTGAGTTGTATCAAGTTGCAGTGCAGACATTTGAACCTGTTCACTCGTGACATAGCAAGCTTCAGTGCGGTGTAGAGGCAGTCGGGTACTAAAAGATCTTGTTTTCGTGGCTCATAAACAGGGCCACTTACAATACCATCAAAAATGGATTCTTTCTTATCGAAATAACTTTATTTTACCACACTTCTCCCTTTGTCTGGAAAGCGGCGTGGAAAACTGCGCAATGGCTCGTGGTTAGTTATAGTGCTATGTATGACTGAAGTTGTCTTTTCCGTTGAGCGTTGATTTGCTTCACCGGATCACAAACGGTGTAAGAAGTGACTAACAAAACACTCCTTGTTTCATTTCAGGATTAAATGGCTTCGGCGATGGAATCCCTATCGGAAACGCATCAGCGATTTATCTAGTGCGCGGCAGAACAAACGAACACAAAAATAATTGTCAAGCTGGACTTGTTGTGGTGACTGAAAATGTACATCACAATTGTATAGACGAAAAAAAATTGTTCTCATATCTTAAAATCAATATCAGGGAGAGTTCTGCGATGACGTTAAGGGTGAAAATTCAAAACAAATTATGAACAGGTTCAGTGAGTGGTGGTTAATGATAAAGAGCACATGATCAATGGGCGCGAAGATGAAAAATCACATAACAAACACTTGTCGGATGAAAAATTCCGGCAAGTGGAGCTCCTCCGACAGAATACGACGCATTTCATCCCGATATCTGTAGCTAGGGGGTTGGTATTTAACTCCTCTACGTCGCTTCTCCTGGCGTAGTCGTTGGTTAGATTCATTATCAGTAACAGAATGGTCTTCAGTGTTCTCAGATTCTTAATGATAAAGAGCACATGATCAATGGGCGCGAAGATGAAAAATCACATAACAAACACTTGTCGGATGAAAAATTCCGGCAAGTGGAGCTCCTCCGACAGAATACGACGCATTTCATCCCGATATCTGTAGCTAGGGGGTTGGTATTTAACTCCTCTACGTCGCTTCTCCTGGCGTAGTCGTTGGTTAGATTCATTATCAGTAACAGAATGGTCTTCAGCGTTCTCAGATTCTTCGACAGTTTCATTGACTCCTTTCTCTTCCGAACTTCTTCCTGCTTCGTGCAGATTTTCGGGAGTATCCTGTTCTTCTTCTGAGCTAATTATGTTCGCAAATAGACGTTGGGCGAATCGTAAATGAAAGCGCATTCGATTTTCCATCGTATCTTCTGCATTTGGTGGGTCTTGTTCATGTGATAGGTTGAGTACAAGGATTCTGCAATGAAATAATCCGGAAAATCATGGCATGCAGTTGACTCAAGGTGCTAAGAAACCCGGGCTTAAGAACACAGAACGACATTGGCAGTTTAGGCCTTACGAAGTACGGACAGTGGGAACGGACGGACGAGTCATCTGAATACGCTTTAAGATCTGTCAAGTAATTTCAGGTCACGGGCCAGCTACGATGAAGAAATGGATAATTAGGGTGGATACTGTCCCTCCACAGCCCTCAGCGGACCATTTTCCGAAAAAAATACTTATGAGCAGTTTGATAGCCATGCAATACTCTTCCATATCAATGACGGTTCTGGGCGCCCATGATGCGCAAAAGAATACCTTCATTCGGTGAACTCACATGCAAAAAGCGCACTAATTGTCAAGGAATTGAGCCAAGAATTTACAGACGTACTAGGGGTATTCGTTTTGTTCGCAAACTACAGTGGAATGCACTTGTATTCGCCGAAGTCGAGTGTTGTGATCTGCGTAGTCGCACCACGAACTGTTTCGAAGATACGTTGCCCTATGATGAACTGACCACGATGGATCGGCCGACCAAATGAGGAAATGCCTCAGTGACAGAAGATTTTTGTGATTTTCCGGTGGATGATTGCATAGCTTTTCATGGTAATTTCGAATCTACATTTTAGGCGAACTGTCCAGTGCAGTCGCAATCGGTCCGCCTCGCTATTTCGGGTAGTTTTGAATCAGTACCGCCTAGGTGGACTCGAAAGACTGAAATGTGCATATACTATATCCCAGCACACCGGCAAGAAAGCACCTGAGCTGTTAACAACACCTTCCTTGAAGTGATACAATCAAACCGCTTCCCACGAATGTCTAGCTCAAAGCAATTCGTAAAGGACCAGTAAACCCCATCAGTCTCCCCAGATGTGTGATACGAGGACACTCAGAAATCTTTTTTTTCAGATTGGGCGTTTTAATCTCATGGAATAGCAAAAATGCTTAACCGGTTTCACGGCGCCCTCCGCCGTTATTGAGCAATTACGGCGCCTAACTGTAATAGAACCGTGAGGGGAACGCCTTAGTAGTGTAGACGAACCCCGTTTTTCTCTATGAAAAGAGTTCAAAGTACTCACAACAGCCTTGAAACTCAATTTGGGATAGCCTTGTCCTGGAGAGCTCACTTCTGGACAGTTCGTTTTATACCCTAACGCTACAAGAATTGTTGGAGTAGAGGGCAAGGAATGCAGTCAAGTGAACGCAGGAAGAATAACCTGTCTGCAGAGCCAAAAACTCCTGTGAGACCAAAAACAACTGCAGCCGCTAGTCCCTGAAGCACTTGCTATGTGAGGTTGTGGTCAGCTCACCAACTGGATCAAAGTGTCACCTAATGTTCTCGGATTCATGTCTCATGTGGCGAGGTTAGACAACTCAGTGTTATGTCAGTTGTGAGGTTTATAATTCCGAGGTTCACGCAATCGTTTTCGGTATTTTTTGCGTGCTTAAATGGCTATTTTATGGAATGCGTCCTTGTTTCTAAGTCATTTTAAGTAATCTAGTTAGGAGCGAACACAGAGGCACGCCATCACGAGCGTCGGTGTTTTTTTCATTTGGTTCATGTCTCATGTGGCGAGGTTAGACAACTCAGTGTTATGTCAGTTGTGAGGTTTATAATTCCGAGGTTCACGCAATCGTTTTCGGTATTTTTTGCGTGCTTAAATGGCTATTTTATGGAATGCGTCCTTGTTTCTAAGTCATTTTAAGTAATCTAGTTAGGAGCGAACACAGAGGCACGCCATCACGAGCGTCGGTGTTTTTTCATTTGGTTTCTCAGCGCGTTAGAGTTTCAAAGCAGGAACGCATAAGTGTTCCAGAAGTTGAATAAGAGTCGAATGTGGCACACCACGGCTTGAGCCACGCGAATCAAAGAGAAAACAGGTACAGAGTTGGGTGACCAACTAAAGTGCTGTAGAAAACATTGCAGCTTTTGTTATTCTCGTCATTAGACCTAATTACTTCAGGCAGCTTCTCTGTACTGATCCCTTTCCATCTCTTGAATTTCCTATGTCAGCCTCCATTCACACTTACAGGATTCAGTTGCGTTTATATCCAACAGACTATCTAGACAAACTACACTGAGTCAAAAAGGGTGCAGCGTTTCGCATCAATGAGCGTAGAGGTGCTTCCAGTTTACGCGTTTCTAGTGACCATTATAGCAATTGCCGTTACGATTAATGCTCTATGAAGAGGTTGGTATTTTCAGTGAAATAATCTGAAGCGAATCAGTGGATGCGTTACAGTTCCTAAGACATCAATACCCATTGGTTGAGTCTACGTCGGCATGCAGAAGCCAAGCTCGGACATATTAGTCATTCTTGAAGTCAGTGTGGACTGGACAGTTATCCTCTCAACTAGTCCGTTCTACGAACGAACAGAGCATGAAGTCGTCGAAGCATCATCGTTGATGTCGTACTATTGATGGTGATGATGATAGTTGGAGATCAGGCCAGTTTGCAAATCCAGCTGGTCGAAACGGTGGTGGTCCGGTAAACTACGCCCGGCATGACGTGACTGAGGCTTTACGCAAGAGCAACGAAGTTCGTGGGTGACCTTACCTAGGCACCAAAATTTATCAGAACTAAAGTGTTAAGGAGTGAAGTTCGGACGGAACCATTGCAGTCCCAAAAATGAGCACTGCTAGATTAGTCCCTGAACTCTAAAGGGAGATGACAGTTCGCGCTCAGCCTAGTCCTTTCTGCTTGTCTAGGTTAATTAGCCTGTCAGTTTACTGCGTTCTCTCGCCTGCAAGTCCTCAATTAAGGCTTGCAAAAGCAACACAACCAAGTCATCCGAATCCCGACCAGCTTCTCATTAGTTCCTGTCGCGACTGCGTGCTTTTCGATAAAAATATTCCATATCCATCAGTCAGACAAAGGACACAACCGTTTGTGTGTGTGAATTGAACCTCACGCATTGGCACTGAACATCCTTCCTCGTCACACGAGACTGGTCGTGTGCGTCTACATAGATATCTACGGAATCGATTTAGAACATGTGGCAGGATCGCCAATTGCAGTCCTAGTGGCTTCAAGACGATTCGCCCTGCGGTGACGAAGCTGCGCCTGTTTGAGTTTGCTCGTGGAATTCATATTGTTTTAGTCTCACCAGGCAACTTGCACGTATTAGTTGGCTAAACGGGCAACACAGTAACAGAAACCAGTCCCAAGCTCTGACGAAGCCTTTCAAAACCAGGTAGCATGTTTTGTCTTATCATTCACTTGTGCTAAAAGCTATATGGTTAATAGGCGGCAGAAAGAAACTTGGAATCCCGAGAGCACCGGTGATATATATATATATATATATATATATATATCCGAAGACTGTAGGGTGTCGGATTTTAG